CAGTCTGCAGTTAAGGCACATTGTGTTTGTTTCATTCCAAATCCATTGTGGTGGGGTATAGTGCCAAAGATGTTAGAATTGTGCCGATGTCCCAATATTTCTGGACCTGACTGTATATATAGGTTATTGCTGAGTTGGCAACATTTTAATTCCACAATATTATATGCAAAAGGAATCAGAAAGAGAACAAGGTTGTCATCATGGGTTGGTTAAGCTTTAATAGCTGACTTCTCAAATCCCAATTACTGTTCACTTCATAATATGCTACTCATGTTGAACTGGGTTGCTTACATTGCTGTCTATATGCCATATGCATGAGAACATGCTGCTTCAGAAATTTAGCTTTTTAGATAGAAAATTATCAAGTACACCCTAGAGATTTTGTGTCAGTCTGAAGATACTATCTTGTTCAGTGTGTTTTCTGCTAGCAACCCTAATTTTAAAGTACTATTGCATATTTTAGGTTTAGATTTAAATTTAGGGATAAGCCTGGTTTTTTTATAAAAACAGCTAGAAAGCCACACCCATGTATCATATATATTCACAACATTATTCAATTTTCTCACACACACATTTCTCTCTCTCTCTCTCTCTTTCTCTCTCTCTCACTCACACACACACACACACTATTCAATAGCATTCCAACAATTTACTAAGGTAAAAGTGTCCTTAAAGCAAGTACATGGGACTATTATATGCTTATTAATGGGGCATGCAATCCCATTATTTTGTTTCTTTGCAAGATGCGGTCTCCTGCTGACCGTCAGATTGGTTATAACAAATGTAGCAATAACACCTCTCATCTATCACTTCCCAGGAGCCTTACAACTAAAATACACTCTTCATAATGTTGAATTACAAATATGGATTGTTACCTGGTTCTTACATCTAATTTGCATCTATTGATAATACAGGACAGCTCAAAGAGAATTGGAAACCAGCCTCTCACCCAGACCCTGTCTTCTGGAGCGACATTCATATCATCACTAGTATATTCTCTGAAAGCCTTTAAAAGCAAAGACAAGTTTATAACATTAGAAACCTCAGGTGCAATGTATATTACCTATTCTAAAAAAAAATCAATAATTGGGCTGCATCAATTTATAGTAACATTAAATAATTAAAGCTACTAGATATCAGGCTTGGGTTTAAATACTTTTTTGTGTACAGCAGCTTGATATGGCAATTTCCAACCATTGTTTAGTTGTAAATATACCTGATGATCCCTCCACCCAATCTGTTACAAATCATGTGCTTTCTGACTTATAAGTGGAAGTATCATCTAACAAGGTTTGCCTGAAATGTCTGTTGCTGAATAAACCACTGGGGCTGGCTTGCCGCAACACTGATTTGGATAGGAGATGCTAATCAAGAAAGTTCATGGCTGAATTGTGATTGGAGGTGGAAAGGAAAAGACAATGGTCAGGAATTTTGACTGATACTGTCACCTGTGTAAAAAGACTACAGTGCCCGGAATATGTTCACCTACTATACAAAAAAGGTGGTTCTGTCAAAAGAAATGATACCTGTACTGCAGAATACTATCATATATGTTAGATACAAGTCCTCTTTAGCTGTAGCATTTCTACATGGATAGACAATATGGCCCAAGCTTTACACACAAGGAGTTTCTTCTAAACATAGACAATATGGTGGACCAGAGTAATTAACTAAGAGAAAATGTTGTATTTCACTCTTATTAATGCATTAAACAAACTCTCCCTGCAAATTTACCAAAATTATTATGTATTATACCTAGAACACTTTTATTAAATAGTCTTACATCACTATTGGCTCAATTCCCTCAGTATTATTTTTAGAATTTTAAAATACAGGAGATAAAATTTCAATTCTCCAAACTTTCAATAAAAAGTTGCAGTGCATTTCAAAATGCTTATTTCATATCATAATTACTTTTTTTTAGATTACAAGCACCCTAATTGTAGAATTCCATTCTTGTTCAGTTACCACTCACAAACAACACTGTAAGCTCAAAATATGTCTGTTCTGTTAAACATGTGTGGCTATAACTTTTATTGGTGGTGTTTATTACTCATTATTCCATCCTGTTAGGAGTTTTTAGCTATTTTTAAGATGTGGAAATTTTTAGAGGTTTTTACTCTAAAATCTGATTGTAAAATGTTAGGAACTGTAGTATCATTGAAAAGCAAATAATAAACTTTATACATACAATAAAATATAATGTGTATCTTTAAGATCTATTTCTATTATGCTGCAATCCTATATCCATTTACCTGGTATCAAGCCACTTTGAAAGCAACTTTTAATTCTGGGTAGATAAGTGTAAATTTGCACAATGGAAGTTTTCAAAACAGATTTTATTATTTCAGGAAGGACCACAAAGTCAAAGATCACAGTTGTTGTTGTTTTTTTAATATATCTTTGGCAATGGTTCAAGTTTCAAACATATATGCCATCTTACACTCTGCTCAAATTTAGTTTCCGCTACAGAATATAATCAACATTTGACACATGAATACATAAATACCACTACTAAATACCTATAAACTGTACCTGAGGCCTTTCTGATACGTATTTCGCACAATGGCGAATAAGGCGAATAGCTTCCATACTTGTGTCTGGAAAAGCTGCATTGCATGCAAACTCAGACAAGCATTTCACTGCATCCTGGAAGGAATCTATGGTTGCTGGGAAATGTTTCTCAAATACAATTGCTAAAAAAAAGAATATGTGTAATTATCAGTCCTTTGACTTGAGAGAAATTCTTTTTTTTAAAGTTCATTTTTAAAGGAAGATATAATCACAAAGCAAAATGATGATGCATTGATAACATATAAGATAAACATAAGAAATCAAATATCTATAACAAAAATATTATTTTAAAGTTCTACTAAAGCTAAAAATTATTATTACTGTGCCTTTGAGTCAGCATTGATTCTTAGTGACTGCCTGGACAAATCCCTGCAGTTTTCTCAGCAAGATTTCAGAAGTGGTTTGCCATTGCTTCCTTCCTAGGGCTGAGAGAGAGTGACTGGACCAAGGTCTCCCAGCTGGCTTTGTGCCTAAGGCAGGACAAGAACTCCTGGCCTCCCTGTTTCTAGCCTGCTGCCTTAACCACTATACCAAACTGGCTCTAAAGCTAAAAAGACCCACAACAAAATACTATACCTTTTGGGAATATTCTATAAATTATATATTAGTACTCACTGACAATGTGTCCAGTAGTCTGAAATGCCAGTTCCACTATACTTTCATCCTGATCAGATGCAGCCAAATGAAAAACTGAGAAAATATTCTTCCAGCCTGAGCGTATATTTGCTGCTTGGGAATTTACCATCTGGGCTATGCAACGGACAACCATGTCACGAATGGTTGGTGATCTAAAACAATTTTTACAAATCAATACATTTATTGGTTGAAATTGACTCAATTCTAATACTTTGATGTAATCTGCACCAGTTTCTTTTTTCTAACGTAATGTACAGTGGGCAAAAAAGTATTTAGTCAGCCACCAATTGTGCAAGTTCTC